CTGGTTGCTATTTCCTGCCATATGACAGAAAGCTGACAATTACCAATCAGTACCCCTCCTGAAGGATATATAATAAAGTCAGAAAAAAGTCAGACGAAGATTTAGGAAGGAAATATAATTCCTAATCCTTTTGAAAGTTTTGCCAGAAAGGCTATAGGTAGAACCTGTTTTTCAACTGTGTTCTCTTAATGAAATTCTAAATCTTAGACTGGCAAATACTAAAGGATGGTGCTATAACTTGACTGAGGAGTCAGAAACGGGTGATAAGTTAAGTTGCTCAGTCCAAAAGCCAGTATCTCTAGTAAGCAGATTGGAAACGTTCACACTTGCCAATGTAAATAATTCCCAGCCTGGCCTTATGGTAAGTCTTGCGTCATCATCCAGCTGTTATGATATTTCTGAGACTACGGCCTCTCTGAGCAATGTCTAACTAGTTACAGAATAACTGATTTTCTTTGGTGGGAATACTCCCCTGGGACTCTTAATATACTTCAAATTATACTGAGATTTATTGTGAGATAAGACTTCCTATTATCTTGCCATCCCAAATGTTCACTGCTGCTAGTTCTCACTCCCCCACCAACTCTCAAATGTCTTTTTAGGTCTAGTATCCAAACTCCTTAGCATATATTTTTCCTTTCTTTTATCTCTTCTGTCTGTTTTATCCTAATATTTATATTCTATAATAAGTTCCTTTTCTGATATCAAATATCTATATAATGGGAGTTCTTTTTTTTCTCTAAAGAAAGCTAACAGCATGAGGAAAGAGCTTTGAGGTATGATTTATAGGAGTCCAAATTCCTATTTCACAACCTACTAAATGTATGATATTGGGCATACTACTTAACCCTTCTTTGCTTCCATTTTCTCACCTGTAAAATAGAGTTATCAATAGCTACCATACATGACTGTGTGAGAATTAAATAAGAAATGAACTGTAAAATTGTTTACACAGTCCCAGGTCATAATAGATGCTCTCCTCAAAGAACCTTGAATTTGATTGCCACATTATTATGGGTTGAATTGTGTCCCTCCTACCCCCAAATTCTTATTTGAAGCCCTAACACCCAGTACCTCAGAATGTGACTGTATTTGGAGATAGGGCATTTAAGAGAGTAAGTTAAAATGAGACCATTAGGGTGGGCCTTAATCCAATCTGAATGGTGTCCTTATAGAAGAAAATTTGGACACACAGAGACACCAGTGCTGCACACCACAGAAGAAAGACCATGTGAGGATACAGTAAGAAGGAAGTAATATACAAGCCAAGGACAGAAGCCTCAGAAGAAACCAACCCTGCTGACACTTTGATCTCAGACTTCTAGCCTACAGAACTGTGAGATACTTAGTTTCTGTGCTTTAAGCCACCCAGTCTGTAGTATTTTGTTATGGCAGCCCTAGCAAACTAGTACACATATATTCACTATTTCAGAGGAATTGACCCCCACACTTCTCCTGTTCCTGTTTTTATTTAATCCTCTACTTAGTGATAGGGCAGTGATTAAGAGCATAATCTTAGAAGTTAGCCTTGAATTTGAAGACTGGGTTATATACATAAGTGAACTCAGGTGAACTTCTCAAATGTTTTTGAGTCGCAAATTTCTTCACGTGTGAAATGGGGATAATACCTATCTCATAGAGTTATAGTAAGGATGAAGTTTAAAAAGATGCTTATAAATTTCATAGTATACTGTCTGGCATACAGGTGCTAAATAAGTGGTAGAATTTATCAACTTTATGTATGATGGACCATTTGCCTGCATTTTGTCAATTTGGCTTAGTTTTCTCCAAGCCTGGTCAGTTTAGTAAATCTTCTCTTTATGAAGTGCCACACACATACATACTTTCTACGATTATTTGATTATTTTTGGGGTGTGGAAAAGCAGCATCTGTTAGCTTGAAGCCAAGATCACAAACCCATAAAGTGAGTTGTAATATATTTTAAACATATATCCGAAAAATCCTTCTAATGTATTAGACTTGTTTAAATGATCTGATAACTTTTCTCCAAGGACCAAGTTAGGCTATTTTTCTTTCTTGAAGTTCTTCAAACTTTTCATTTTAGGAAAACATCATGGCTTATCAGAAACTCCACTCCATGAGGTATTCTAGTTTGCAGTAGAAAGAACATAGTTCTACAATTTTAGTATCTGACTCAATTCTAAAGTTCTCTATATTATTTATAAGGTATATTTCATAGTCTGGTCTCATTCCCTTTACCAGATGGTTTATAGAATAACACCTTATTTCTCTTTAATTAATTAAGAATGGAATTTGCTTCCATAGATATTTCACTATGCTTCTCTTACCTAGTAAGAATTTTAGGCTATAAATGTTTATGCTGTCTCCTCATGTACATAATTCACCCTATCTCTTGCTCATTTCTATCTTTTGCTCACAGTTTGTAAACTGGCATCATAATATCCTTTGTCCCCAGTGTCTCTCTCTCTCTCTCTCTGTGAGACTGCAATTATGTGAAGATTTTTTCTTGCTATAATTTATTCAAATTAATATTTACTGAGCACTTACTATGTATAAGACACTGTGTTACGTATCTACTGTGGAGGAAGAAGAATATTTAGAATAGCCTCAAAGAGTACACAGTCTCATTCTAATCATATTTTTTTAGGCTTCTAATATTTGTTTGAAAACATTTATATATTCTGATGACTTTTCTTCCACTTCCCATTCTTATTTGTTGTCCCATCTGAAGAGATATCTACTCTGTCACCTCTTTTTTTTTTTTTTTTTTTTTTTTGCTGTACGCGGGCCTCTCACTGTTGTGGCCTCTCCCGTTGTGGAGCACAGGCTCCGGACACGCAGGCTCAGCGGGCATGGCTCATGGGCCCAGCCGCTCCGTGGCATGTGGGATCTTCCCGGACTGGGGCACAAACCCGTGTCCCTTGCATTGGCAGGCGGACTCTCAACCACTGCGCCACCAGGGAAGCCCTGTCACCTCTTTTTAACTCAAGAGAGCCAATGAATTCCCTCCAGGTCCTCAAGCAGAGTCTTTGTCAATCTGTTTTGTGTGCTTTTTCATTCTCAGTTCTCCCATAATTTTTAGAATATAACCACCACTTAGTTTGCTAAGATAGTATAGTGTTAGTGATTAGCAGCTTAGGGGGTTTTCTTGCAAACATTACCTGTCACTTTGCTGAATTAGGATATCTTCTTTCTTCATTCTCATCAAAAGACCAAACGATCACTTGCTATAGGTTTGTTTCCCTTTATTTGAAAATTAAGGAGTTGCCAATAGACTTTCTGATGAAGGAAAGGAGGGCATCTAAATCCATTATTTTAGACCACAATGCCTACTTCTCAAAGAGTTGAAGCAATTCCCCTCTCCCCTTTTTAAAAGAAAAGCAAGACATAAAAGAGAGGAAAGCAAACTCTTCAGCCTCAATAGGCACCCATGCTTAGAGGTGAAATAGGCCAGGAAGAAGAGAAGAAAAAGAAGAAAAAGAGAGTAAGGATAGATACACATTGTTAGGAATCCAATATAAAATTTGGAACCCTACTAAAATGGGTTTACATCAGACATGGCATTTGCTTCACCCTTAGTTTTACCCTCCAAAACCAGATATAATTGGGTGCCATCTCATAAATCTTTTACTAATGACTGTCAATAACCCAATTGTTCAAAACCCTTTAAGCACCTCTTATGTGTGAAACATTGTGTCAGGTGCTGAATAAGATAGGAGAAATATACAATACCATGTCTGACTACAAGAGCATTACTTTCTAACTGTGGCAATAAGAGACTACTAGGCAGTATTGGAGGGGTCCTTGGGAGGTCTCCAAAGGAGTAAAATAGTACTAAAAAAATAAAAAAGAGAACATGAGCATTGAGCTGAGGATCCAAAAAAACTGTGCTCTATTCTATCTCTGCCATTTCCTTGCTATGTGACCTTGGGCAACTCATTTCTCTTTCAGGTCTCCCCTTTCATCCCTCATCCCTTCCATTCCCTTCCTCCAAAGGAAAAAAAAAGAGAGAAAAGAAAAGAAAGAAAAAGAAGAGGTTATCCTAGAAGATCACTAAAATGTAAGAATATATGGGATGATTACTAATAAGCTCTGTTGCATTGCCCAGATTGTAGTCTACAGCTTGCTATGGTCCCCTGAGCTGCCCTTCATTTTCGGAGATGAAGAAATCGAGGTCCAAGATTCCCCAAATTCAGAAGCAAGTTAGGACTCAGAACCACATCTTCCCATGCATCTTTCAAATGATTATAGTGACTCATAGAAAAAGCTTAAAAAATATTTTTGACATGGCTTACTAAGTGAGAGAGATGTTTCTTAAAATTTTTTTTGTATATATGAAAATGGGGGGAAGGGACAAGTCTACGTATTGGAACAAGGTGAGCGATTCATTCCTCAGGATCTGAAAGGCTGTATATTCCAAAACTCTATTGCAATAACATTCCATTTGGCAGATGTGACCTGTTAAACAATTATACAAGTAGCACGGCAGTGAGGGAAGCCCATAGATGCACCTGGAGAGCGGGAAGAGGCTCAGAGGTGGTAAACTGCAAAATAGTTGCCCAAATCACAATATTGTCCAGAGTCAGACCTAGGGAAACCCTTTCTGTAGCCTTGAAGGCGCCCAAGTTCTCACGCTTCCTGGCATTCTATTGATTCACACTTGCGTCCTTCAACAGGTAGCGCCAATTACAGCCCACAAAGCACGGCCCCCCAGCATAGTGGCCAATACCGCTGTCAATCAAATACTTCACCTGCCTTTCTAAATTTCCCCTCCCCCTTTCATTGGCGCTTCTTTCGACCTATCCACAAATTTCTTCCGCGCCTCGCACCGCGGACCTTGGCTATTTGGAGCCTAGGATTGGAGCCGAGGCTACTCCCGCCCTTTGACGTACCGGAGCTCTCCGCCCCTTTCGCGGGCCCCTAGCAGCCAGGGGAGAAGGGGCGGGCGAGCGAGGGGGTGGTTTGGGGGCGGGGCTTGCCTCCCACGGCGGGAGGGCGGAGCCTGCGGTGGAGACTGCCTGCTCCGGTAGGACCTCGGAGAGCGCCGGACGCTGCTACCAGAGGGACTGGAGAAGCGGCCGGAGCCGGGCCGGACCGACGCCTGCGAGCCCGCATCCCTCCGCACCCACAGCTTTCCGGGCTGGCAGGCGGATAGTAGCGGCTGAGGAAGGTGCCTAAGTCGGGAGTCAGTCATCCCTCTGGGACGCCGACGCCGCCGTCCAACCGCGGCTCCCTCACACCTGTGTGTGTGTCTGTGCGCGTGAGCGTCCGGGCGCGTATGTCTGCGTGAGGGTGTTTGCGTGTGCTCCGGCTGGGCGCGCGAATGTCTGTGTGAGGGTGTTTGCGTGTTAGCGCGCCCGCGGGCGAGAGCCCGGCGCCTAGGCGCTCGGCCCGGGGAGGGACTGCGGGAGCGGCGGCTCTCCTTGCCCAGCAGGCTGTGGCGGGACTCGGGCCGCAACCGTCGTCACCACTGCCTCATGTCCCCCGAGAGCCACCAACGTGCTGCGGGGAGAGCGGACGGGCGGGCTAGCGAGGCGGCGGCTGCGGGCAGAGCGGGGCGGGGGTGGTGGTGGTGGTGGTGTGGAGGGTGAGAGCAGGGGGTTGGGGGCAGAGACTCGGGGAGGGAAGGGGGAGACGGAGGGGGAAGCGGAGGCAGTCGGCGCCGCTGCTGGCCCCTCCCGTCGGCTGTTGCTGTGGGTCACCTGCAAGTGTTTTGGGGTCCGGGCTGTACCGGGTGGAAATGGAAAAAGGCCCCCTCACCATCCCGCGTTTCCTGTTGAGAAAAAGGGAGCGTTGAAGATGATGAGGGAAAGCCCAGAAGGTGGTGGCAGAATAAATACGAGCTCTCCCCCACCACCATTTTTCTGAAAATAAAATACGGTGAGCTCAACCTTTAGGAGGAAAGCCCACCTTTAAGAAAGAGAGTCTTGGTCTGATGGACTCTGGTTTGATTGTATAATAATGATGATATAATGCTAATGACGATGATGACACTGCCTTTTATTTTTACCCCGGTGCTGATAAAGCGTAGCTACAGCTGGGGATAAAGCCCTTGAAAATTTGGTGTCTGAGGAGGGAATACTGGTGCATTTGGAGTTGTGTTTTCTTTTTCTTTTTAAAGGATATGCTTTTTAGAATTAAAATTTGACCAAAGGTTGATGTTTTTCCTTTTTTTTACTCATTGAAAGCCAATGCTCGTAAAATGCGGACTGGCTACTGCCATGACTGATGAAAAGCTAAACACTTTTACCCACGTATATTCCATGTGTTAAGTCACCCTTTCCTTTGAATTTCTCAACAGTTTTTAAAATGAAGAAGTTTAATTTCCGAAAAGTTTTGGATGGCTTAACTGCCTCCTCCCCTGGCAGTAGTAGCAGCAGTGGCAGTAACAGTGGTGGCGGGGCTGGAAGTGGTTCCATGCATCCAGGAGGGACTGCAGGGGTTCTCAGAGAGGAGATTCAGGAAACCTTGACTTCAGACTATTTCCAGATTTGTAAGGTAAGTTTTGAATTGGCTTAAAGCTTATTATTTCTTTATTTTACTACTGTGAGGAAAGAATTAAAACACTCCAGGGACTGGAAATTGTTGAGATGCCAGTATCAGAGAGTCTGGTGCAGAGAATTTTGTGGGTAGGTCAGTTTGAATTAAGATATTCCAAGCATCAACTTAAAAATCAATGATAGTTTAAGAGGGAAATAAGCAAACATAAAAAGTAGACTCTGCAAGATAATATTAAGGCCCATTAATGGACTACTTTTTAAATTTAATATTTATGTATAAATAGTTAATCCCATGCTGTCATTCAGAGAAACTAATTTTATTTCACTGTTCAGTATAAAATGATTAAAGCTATTAAGATGTTGCTAGAATTAAGTAGATAAGAGCTAGATGAATATGTCCATTTTAAAATATCTAGTGGCAGTGTTTAAAATTCTGAATAAAAACACACCCAGATTCTTAAATTCTTAATAAACAAACAAACAAATGCTATGGGCTTAATACTTGTAAGAACTCAAAAATAGCCTGTGTTCTGGTTTAGTGAGGAAGCATTTTCGGTAATTATACTTTAATATTGAACTTCTAATAAATAAGCAAAAGAAAGAGTTTCTGATGGGGAGAGATGAGAATTTACAAAACAAGCATTGTGTTAATATATAGAGATAATTGTTTTATTTTCTGACATCAAGTGATTTATAATTTGTATTGTCCTTTTTTGGGGGGTAGCCTAAGAATGTGCTTTTGACGTGTCATGTGCAGTAAGAAAGTTACCAAGTCATTCATATGATGCAGATGAATATAGTTTTATAAATGTGTTTGAATACATGAGAAGAAATAGTAAATTTTTGAAATTAAGTATTAAATTTTTCAGTAATTCAACACAAATTTTTTTGAAATTATTAAAATTATTTTTGTAGTAAACAGATTATGTGTAATGGGATAAGTTTCAATTATTCCCTTAATTTCTGTTCCCAGTAGGGTCATTATAAAAACAAATCTATAATTACTAAAATATTATAGATTACATAAAAGCAAGTTTATTTAGAATTAGGTTAGATAAACAGATTTAATTCTAATCTACCCTGTGAAATTTGTATGCAGTACAATTTTGTATACAAAGTTGTATACAATTTTGTCCTCACTTTGAAATAATAGATATTTTGTCAGGTTAGGGAGGAGCTTAATAGTGGTCATGAGGCAAATATGTGAAAGGGTCCTAAAGGCCAAATTTGAACTGCTAAGCAGGGGACTTAGGCCCTGATTCTCTAATCTTTGATGTATTACTATTACCATTCCAAGAATCTTAAAAAATTTCCAAAGCCTCTCAGTTCGTGAATATGATAGTAATGCAGGATAGTTTTAGTAGAGGTAAACTTGATATAGAAAAGATAAATTTCTGAAACAGAATGGCATTGGACTGTTGATGGTATAAACTGGTAGAGAAGGTTTTAAGTAAAACATTTCAGGGGAAATGGGTGAATGCAAGAGAGGAAAATGGGGTAGATAATCACCTTCCTATTTATTTAGGCAAGAGAGTCATGCAAAGTGGCTGAAGTTAAATATGTATTACTTCAAAAACATATGGGATGGTAGGAAGAACACTGGCCTAGGAATCAGAAAATTTATATTTTTTAAAGCTCTGCCACTTGCCAGCCACATATTATTTGGAAAGCCATTTATCTGCCTTGTGACATGATTTTCTCATCTGTAGTATGGTCATAAGTATTTCTGCTCTTCTTACCTAAGAGGGTAGTTGGGAAGATCAAACAAGACAATTAGGTGAAGGCAATGTATAAGTTGGAAAAGGCAGTGAAATGCATATTTATATGATTGTTAAAGTTTTAAAATCACCTTGTTCTTGGTGGAATGACTATAACCAGTGGGTTATAAAATATTAGGTAACAATATTCAAAGAAATTATAAGGATAGAAAGCTATTTGAGCTGAACACTAATAGTATTGAAATCTCACTAAATGGGGAAAGTTCTGTGACATCTTTAGATAGGAATATAGTTAATTTAAAAAAGTGGTTATATGACTTTAGGTTACCTGGACTGTAATAAAATGTGTAAAGATGCATTAAGGAAACTCCAAAATTAAAACTGTTACTAAAATGGGGAATTAATTTGGACTCACTGATTAGATGTGCAAAGAACATTCTATTCTGAGTACTAAGCAGTTGGTACCTTCTGAGTACTTCTACCTTTTCAATATGGCCAAAATTAAAGTACAAATCAAGAATCTGCTCTTTTGAAAACTATCTTCCTCTCTATTATTTGATTGGTTGTCAAATTCTATCCTATTTCCTTAGTATTTTTACAATTTATTCCCTTCTCACCATCTCCAGTACTTGTTCATTCCACCATATTTTCTTGCCTGGTCTCTTCTTTTTTTTGTGTGTGTGTGTAAAATTTATTTTGGATCTATAACATGTTTACTGATTTGAATAAGGCTTATTTCATTAACATGTAATTTCCCCCCTGTAACTGTTACTAACAATGCACTCTGTTGAATCTCTCTCTGGTATCAGGTTCTCTTTAACAATTCAGTCCAATTTCATAACCTTAAAAAACACCTTTATGGTGAAAAGGAGGGATAAAGTGTTTAAAAATCTTCTCTGACTGCACCTTGTTTTATAGTTTTGATTTTGGAACCATGTGAACATTTCATATAATTAAAAAATTTGGATCAAAAAGGAAAAAAACTCCTACAAATCTGAAACAAATGGATACAAATGAACCTAGGAGTATATAAAATTGATAGTATAAACCATAACCTAGGAGTATATAAAATTGATAGTATAAACCACACAGAAAAAAACAATTATTTCAAATGACATTAAAACTCAAACTTTTGGGCTTCCCTGGTGGCGCAGTGGTTGAGAGTCCGCCTGCCGGTGCAGGGGACACGGGTTCGTGCCCTGGTCCGGGAAGATCCCACAGGCCGCGGAGCGGCTGGGCCCGTGAGCCATGGCTGCTGAGCCTGCGTGTCCGGAGCCTGTGCTCTGCAACGGGAGAGGCCACAACAGTGAGAGGCCTGCGTACCGCAAAAAAAAAAAAAAAAAACAAAAAAAAAAACCTCAAACTTTTAATGGACCTCCATGGTGAGGTATATCCTAAAGAGCAAAAAGAACCACAATGAAATATTCAGTTGCAATTCATAGTTCTTTTTTTTTTTTTTTGACCACACAGCTTGTGCAAGTGAAAGCTTGGAGTCCTAACCACTGGACCACCAGGGAAGTCCCACAATTGATAGTTCTGTTGTTAGTAGTAATACTAGTCTTGTAGTTTTGAAACTATTTTACGCATAATATACATTATATATGTATATGCATAAGCAAATACGCAATCATGTTAATGTCATTAAAACCAAGATTTTCAGTGTGAAAGCAAAGGGATACAAATATAATAATTGATGATTTAATTGTTCACTTAAATTGGAAATATCCATATGAATGCATGATTTAGTTTTCTTTCTGAAATTCACATATTTCCTAGCTTTATTTACTGAGAGGGCATAGAAATAATGACAGTCTGGTAGAAGTGAGCATCCCCAGTGCTGATCATAGTCTCTGAAAGCCATTTCCCAACAAAAGGAAGAAGGGCTCCTTGAAAAGAATGTCTGATTCTAGGTCTGGGGCAGGAAATGTACCAGATGAGCTTGATACCTCTTGCTATGCCAGAAAGCAGGAATGCTTTCAATACCACTGGGATTGTGTGGATACAGGGGTCAACTTCAAGGAGTTCACATTGGCCAAATTTGGGACAATTTGAACCTTGAATACTGCAATGTATAAAGCATAACGTATACAGGCATACCTCATTTTATTGTGCTTTGCTTAATTGTGCTTTGCAGATACTGTGCTTTTTACAAATTGAAAGTTTGTGGCAACCCTGCGTCAAGTAACTATTGGAACAATTTTTCCAACAGCATTTGCTCGTTCCATGTCTCTGTGTCATGTTTAGGTAATTCTCACAATAATTCAAACTTTTTCATTATAATTATATTTGTTGTGATCTGTGATCCGTGATCTTTGATGTTACTATTGTAATTGTTTTGGGGCACCATGAACCTGTGCCCATTTTTTTTTGAACATCTTTATCGGAGTATAATTGCTTAATGGTGTGTTAGTTTCTGCTGTATAACAAAGTGAATCAGCTGTACATATACATATATCCCCATACCTCTTCCTTCTTGTGTCTCCCTCCCTCCCACCCTCCCTATCCCATCCCTCTAGGTGGTCACAAAGCACAGAGCTGATCTCCCTGTGCTATGCGGCTGCTTCCCACTAGCTATCGATTTTACACTTGGTAGTGTATATATGTCCATGCCACTCTCTCACTTTGTCCCAGCTTACCCTTCCCCCTCCCCGTGTCCTCAAGTCCATTCTCTAGTAGGTCTGTGTCTTTATTTCCGTCCTGCCTCTAGGTTCTTCATGACCATTTTTTTTTTTTTTTTAGATTCCATATATATGTGTTAGCATACGGTATTTGTTTTTCTCTTTCTGACTTACTTCATTCTGTATGACAGACTCTAGGTCCATCCACCTCACTACAAATAACTCGATTTCATTTCTTTTTATGGCTGAGTAATATTCCATTGTATATATGTGCCACATCTTTTTTATCCATTCATCTGTCGATGGACACTTAGGTGGCTTCCATGTCCTGGCTATTGTAAATAGAGCTGCAATGAACATTGTGGTACATGACTCTTTTTGAATTATGGTTTTCTCAGGGTATGTGCCCAGTAGTGGGATTGCTGGGTCATATGGTAGTTTTTTAGTTTTTTAAGGAACCTCCATACTGTTCTCCATAGTGGCTGTATCAATTTACATTCCCACCAACAGTGCAAGAGGGTTCCCTTTTCTCCACACTCTCTCCAGCATTTATTGTTTGTAGATTTTTTGATGATGGCCATTCTGACCAGTGTGAGGTGATACCCCATTGTAGTTTTTATTTTCATTTCTCTAATTAATGATGTTGAGTATTCTTTCATGTG